TGACTTCACTACACAATGGATACTGAAAATGAACTGCATCTAACTGCACACAGCAATATGCAGGAATCTCACAAACGAAAGAAGCCAGGAATGTAAGAATACATGCAATATGATTCCATTTATAGAATGTTCCTCAAACGCGTAAAACTAATCCATGGTTTTAGAAGCCGGGGCAGTGATTACACTGGGGGTGGGGGCTGTAGCAGTGACAATCAAGAAACGGGGACTGGGGTTGATAACGTTTTCTCCACCAGGGTGTCGGTTGCACGGGAGTGTTCCGTTAGTGAAGACTGAGCGACCCGTACTGTTACGCTTTTCTAGGTGTACTGCATACTTCAGAAAAATTATTTAGGAGCCCCTTAAGAAAACATTGCTATTATTAATCTCTTGCAACCTACAGTTCAGTTTTGGGGGACGGAGAGAAGGAGTTGAAATTTGCTATTTCAACATACCAAATGTGCTTTTGAGATCAGTGCTGGCTCCCCCAAACTTCCTACAGAGATCCTGTGGAGGCACCAAACCGCATCCCGGATGTCCTACCTCCGCGCAGTGCTGGGTCTGGCTCAGCGCCCGGGTTGGGATGGCCAGGACGGCTGGCTCTTCCAGTTCGGGCGCTCACGCCAGCAAAGGGTCAGGCTCTCCCGGGGCTAGCTGGTGCGCTCCTTGCCCAGCCGGCTTTGGCAGCCTGGGGCCTGCCTGGGAGGCGTTGCCTGGCGCCTGAGCCGCGCGTCCGGCCGTCCGGCGGCACCTGCGCAGCCCCTGGAGGTAGCGAGGGTCCTTCTGCTGCTCTCAGAGCCAGGCTGTGGCTGGTCACTGAACTCTGTCGACTCACCGATTCACCGACAGCTTGGGCCCCAGGAGTTGGGAGAAGGCGCCCGGAAAATTCCCTCTGGGCCCCTGACCCTTTACTGCGCAGGAGGAGGAGGAGGAATGAAACCTTGAACCACCCCGCCTCCCGCACGCGCATTTCTCCAGGGAAGCCCCCGCCCACTCGACCCCACCCTGGAGGTGATGCGCAGCCCCAGATCAACCCGCGGTGCAGGTCCTGGAGAAACCCTTTCTGGGTCTGGTTTCCCTCCTGACCCTATGCTCGCTGCAGTTATGGGCTAGCGGGGATTCATGGCCCCGCCAGCAAGTCCTTTCACCTTTCCCTTCAGTCGAATTCCTGAATAGTCAAGGTCCAAGCCTCTGCTAAGCGTTCCTGGACCTGCAGGCAATCACGCTGGATGCCGCTAGCCCAGTTCTGCCAGTGGGACACTGTTGGGTCTCTGTCATGAGCATCTCTGCAGTGTTGGGGTTCTGAATCCTTAGGATTGGCCCACTGCTCCACGGCATCACGCGGACTTGATTCTCAACATACATACAGCGCCAGCCCGCCTGATGAGTACTAGACTGCCTAAGCTTGTATATGGGTCATCTCATTAATTTTTTCAAAGCCAAAGTAATTGGCACATGAGTATTTATATACCTAAACATTTGATTAATTGTACATTTAATATCTGTGCGTTTTATTGTAGGTTTTAAAAAATCCTGAGATGCACTTAGAAGGATACCCATTTTATAGAGGAGGAAACTAATTTTCAGAATGCTCCTAAATTACTCCAGGCACATACTGCTGCAGCCGGTGGTGGTGTTGAGATTAGAATGGAGGCAGTTCCTAACCTCTCAAAATCAGTCTCTTCAGGAAAAAAAAAAAAAAAAAAAAGACCTCTTGCCATCTGGAACCTATTCCATCTCTCCCACCAGTCCAGCCTGCCCACCTCCTGAGCTGGTATGACACAAGTCAGCTTAATCTGAGAAGGAAGGAGGGCTTGAGCCAGAAGTGACCTCTGAAATTATAGACTTCACCCTTCCCCTCTGCCTTAAAGCTCAGAAAACAGAGCCCAGAAAGGTGACTTACTTTACTTGCTCCAAATCTCATGGAATTTTAGAAGGACTGCTTGATTCTTGCTGGCTCAAAGGACAATCCCACGAAAAAGCAGTTTGGACTTGGGAGGGGGTGCCTAGGGAGGGAGCTCAGGGAAGATAGAGCTGTGCTGGTTAAAGGTTTCCACTCTATAATGTTCCTGGCCCTGGAACCCCAGCATTGACCAGTGCGGAAATCCTTGGACAAAGTGATGGGAGCTATTTATACCCAGAAACTGCAGGCTCCAGAGCAGGGTAGAGAACAGGGAGGGGGCTGGTCCAGGCTGGCTTTAAGTATCTTAAGACACGCAAACCACAAGGAAGCCAGTCCACAGAACCAGCTGTGTTTCCTCTATGAGGGTCACACGCTTCTTCCAGAACAGGAGAGGATGCAGAGTGAAGGAAGAACTAATGTGGGCCAGGAGGAAACCGGGCAGGGAAGGTGAGGGTCCGATGCTGGGAGCACTGAGAGGCCAAGGCCCTGCAGGATACAGGACTGGGTTGGAGGAAAAAGTAGCTGCTTACTTACAAAAACCTAGGGTTGTCAGAGACTTCTGCTCCTATAGTTAAGGCACTGAAATTTGGCCTTGGGAGTTATATGGCTGGGTATTGATGACCTCCTATTCTCAGCACCTAGTGAATGTAGAAGAAGTCCAGTTGGGTCCCAGACCCTATCTCCAAGTCCTCCCCAAACCCCAAACTGTGTGTCCTGGTATCAAGGTCTTAACCAAGGTCTTATTCCGCTTCTTTTCCTAGATTTTGAGCTGTAGGGTGAAGTGTAACATCTGTGGGAAGAGAGGAGAAACTATTTCATCTTGTGGATACAGAAGGTGGGACCTGGTTCTGAGATTAGAATGGCAAGAGTCCTGTTCAGCATTTCCCTCATAGCTGGTGCCCAGTTCCACACCACTGGGGCCACCTAAAAGGCTCTGGAAAACCACTGAAGGGAACAATTGAAGAAGCCTGGAAGGAATCCCCCAACCCGCTTAGCTCCATGAGCTCCTACTGTGATATCTGTCCCAGAGGGAACAGATGCCAGTCAGGTCCTCCACGACTTTACATGGAGGGAAAGAGACAAATAAATCTTTGTACTACATTATGTCATGATATTGGAAAATACCTAAGGCTCCAGTGGTCCAAATGAAGGAGCAATTTCCTCTGCTTGGGTGGTTCAGGAAAAAAGCTGGGCTTTGAAGCAGGAGCAGGAGTTCATCAGAAAGATGAAGGTAGAGGACATTCCAGACCCGGGAAAGTTGTGCACAGACATGGAGACAGAAAGAAAGCTGTTTTAGATTGGCTTCCTTTTTGTCATTCAGATAAAACTTAAATGTCATCCTTTCAACAGGCTTTTCCTGACCACCTACCTACTCTCAAGGGTCCTCAGCTCTCAGCATTTGGTTCAATTTCCTTTTTAAAGTGTATATAGATTTTTACACTTATTTATTTGTCACACCCCACCCCACACACCTGAAAACAAGCTTCATGAATCTAGAAATACTATTTTCCCCACTCTCCACCATTCCCAGCATCCAGAACAGTACAAAGAAATATGTGCCCAGTATATATCATTCAGTGAATTGATGGATGAATGACTTTCGCAGCCAGAGGCAATGAAGAGCCTCCCTAACGCTTAGACTAAGCAACCCTTGGGAAGACGAACTCCAGGAGAGGGAGCTTTGGAAGAGGGGGGTTTGGGATATCTTGGGGTAGGATAGTGGGAGGCTCTGTCCCAGCTCCAGCGCGGAGTGAGGGAGGAGGAAAATGGCCTCAAGGAGCTGTGGGACAGGCAGTCTGGTGCACTAACTCACGCCCAGCTCCGAGGTCTTTCTGCCGCTGGAGAGAAGAGGGAAGGGAGGGTCTTCGCCCCCCAAACACCGCTTCTGCAGTCTCCCGCTAGGCTCTTTTGGACTTGTCCAAGTCGCATCATGGGCGGTCAGAGGGTTTCGCAGGGCTCCCTAGCCTGCCTCCCGGCCTCCCTCCCTCCCCTCCTCCTTTTTCTTCCAGCTCCTCGCGTCTCTCCAGCTCCCCAGCCGGGCGGCCCCGAAGCAGCTAGCAGCCCCCACCCCCTCCTGTAAGGGCGAAATTGCTAAACTTGTAGCAATAATGACCCTGCATTCAAGCCGCCGACTCCCGCTGAAAGTCTCCGCGCCCTGGCCGGCGCAGCCTAATCAGCGCGCCCCTCCCTGCTGCCCGCCCAGCCCCCGTCCCCTTGCCGCCCCTTCCCCCAGCGCACAAAAAAATGGGGAACAAAACCCCCACGCATTTCTCTGTCCCTCTGTTGAGCAGACTGCTGCACAAAGCCCCCGCTCTGAGAAGCAATGGGGAGCTCGGGGGGGACGTCAATCCGACGCGCTGGGGTTTTTGTTCGCGCAGGGGACCTCGCCTTCCTACCACACCTTTTGTTCAGGACGCCAATAAAAAGCCATTCTTTCCGCACCTTCCCGGCCCGGAGCCGCCTTTCAGTGAGGCCCGGCCCCACAATGGCGCGGCGCTCTGAGGCCTCCCCATTCACCCGCCTTGGCACGCTCACAATCGGCCGTGTGGCAGCACAGGCCTCGCACAGGCATTCTCCGCAAGTGACAAGGAGCCGCATAAAGCCGCGGCCGCCGGGGGAGAAGGGAGGGCGGCCGAGGGGGAGAGATCGGCCTCGGCGGGGCGCAGTGCAGCGCCCCCGGGCGCGCTGGAAGCCCTGGCGGCGGCCAAGGAAGGAGCCGCCTTCGCGCCGCCTGCGGCTGGGCCTGGAGTCGAGGTTTCCTCGTTCCTGGCGACCCTCGAGGTGGGGCAGTCTAAACCTTGACCGAGGAGAGGAAGGTCCAGACAGTTATTTCAAGCATGTGGGTAAAAGTGGGGGCAAATCAAAGCAGGGACCTCAAAAGGCTCTGAGTCTGTGGCGGGTCCTAGCCACAACAGTAAAGATAAATTAATGAACAAAGCCCTGAAGAGAAACTTGCAACCTGGGGCCTGGCTCGGGAGAGACCAGGCCTCCCATTGCCCAGGGTACTGCTTTTCTTTACCACCTTTTCCTTCCCTTCCCTCCCGGTTTAAGAGATCCCTCCCCACATTTTTTGGTTAAAGAGTCTGTAGCCGGCCAATAGTTTGTAAGTATTGCACCTTGTTTATTGACTCCTGTAGTGTATGGCAGCGGGTGTGTACACGGCGTGTGGATATAGTTATATATAGAAATAATATGTGCTGAATACAGAATACGAAACAGAAAGGAAACCTGGTAACATCTCCAATGGGCCACCAGGTCCTGGATTAGCTCAGCGCCCCCTCCCCCAACTTTTGATCTCACTTGGCTGGTTTTCTTCGCGGAGTCCTGAGTCCCCTGACAATCTCTGGAGATCTGGGCCAAAGTCTCCGCTATGGAGGGGAGGCAGTTGGAAAACGAAAATCCACTGTAGTGTGGAGCTCTGAGCCCCACAAAGGGGGCAGAGGGTCGGTAAAGCCCTGATATTTCTCAAGCCACGATCCCCATTTTTCTCTTTCATGCCTTTCTGTTTTCTTTTTCTTTTAGGTCCGGGTTCCCCGCCAACGCTTTGCGGAGGCCACAGGAAGATGGAGGGAGAGAAACCCTTCTTGTTTTGGGGAGAACAAACGGCAGCCAGAGTCCCAGCCTCCTGCATTCCCCTCGGGGCCAGGGTAGGGGTTAGAGTCCTCCCTGGCGCCCAGGCAGGGAGTTTTTTTGCCAAAAACGGTTTTGGCAACCGGACTCGGGCATCCTCCTTGCCCCTGAGTCGCCATCCCCAGGCCTCGAGTGGGCTGCGATTCTGAGCCCTGGAGAGCGAGACATATGTATACATATATATTTTAACGAGGGGACCTGGCCCTTGGGTCTGGCCTTTCTCGTGCTTCGTTCCCGCGGCTCCAGGCTGCGGTAGGCGCCCGCCGCGTGATCCGACTGGTCCTTACCAGGCCCGTATGCCCTGTAAGGTACCCTGTGCACACGCGGTCCCGGCTGTAGCACCCTGGTGCAATGGCTGTGAGCCGCCACCGCCGCCGAAGCCTCCCAGGTTGCTCACGTTCATGAAGGGGCCGCCTCCGGTCGCGCTACAGGCGGGTTGCATGGTGGTGGCCGCAGCAGAAGCCCCCCCACCGCCACTGCCGCCTGCGGGGTAGGCACAGCCGTAGCTACCGCTGTAGGCCGCGGCAGCGGCGGCCGCTGCGGCGGCGGCGGCGGCGGCCGCGGCGGCGGAGTTCCCATAGCCGTACGCAGGGAAGCTGTTGTACGAGTAAGCGCCAGCGCCCACACTGTACGGTGCACCGTAGGCCGGAGCGCTGGGCGTGACGCACGGTTTGCCATCCCGCACCAGCACCGGTACCGCCACACGGCGCGGCGGCTGAGGCGGTGCATGTGCTCCCAGCTCCAGAGACTTGTCCTGCCGCTGTCTCTTGCACTTGTACCTGCGATTCTGGAACCAGATTTTCACCTGCGTGGACGTAAGCTTCAGGCTGCTGGCGAGGTGCTCGCGCTCGGGCGCCGACAGGTACCTCTGCTGCTTGAACCTGCGTTCTAGCTCAAAGACTTGGGCTTGTGAGAAGAGGACTCGGGGCTTCCGGCGGCTGCGTGGCTTTGGCCTCTCGCTCTCCTCCGCCGCCTTACAGTCTCCGGTCGTCTCTAGAGGCTTCTTTAGCTGACAGTTTTCTGCGAGAGAAGCAAAACAACAGCATCCATTAGCTATTCCTGGTCTCTCCCGAGCTTCCCCTTATTTGGTGGCAGCTCGGAGCATATGGTAGTAAATGCCTGGACTTTTTAGAAAGTTTGTGGCTCCTGGTGCCATGATACACTGAGGCGACAACCCGAGTACCCAAAGAACACCCTCAGCGGGCGGAGGCACTTTTGATGGGATAGAGTAGTTAGTGCGCATTTATTAAAACTTGAGCATCTGCAAAAGAAGAGATTACCCTGTATTAAGTGTGCGACTCAACATGCTAATGACTATTTTCAGAATGAAAGCTACAAATAATACAGTATTTGCAAACTCGTTTGCCTTCCACAACACCATGCATAGCTGAAGGTGTGAGACATGCTGGTATTAGGTGACCCATGTGCATGGGTTGCACGAAAATCTTTCTTTTGGGAAATGCATTGCTCAGGGACAGTTCTTTGCTTATAAAAGACTACATGCAAATGTGTGTTGTGTGTTACCTTAGAGAGAAAAAGAAGTTTGATTAACTGATTTTAGACAGTTTCATGTCTATTTTAGGCTAGGGTGAGCTGTCAGAGCACAGGCCATGGCCTCAGCCACATCAAACTTCCTCTTGGAGAAAGAGATTCTTTAACTCTGTCCCCTCAGAAACAATTCTTTGGGAGCCTTGTTCAGTTATCTGATCACCCCTCCTAATTCTCTTCTGGTTAGATATGAATGGCTAGATCTGGCACTAAGTTCGGTGTGTTCTCTATTGGGCCTACAGTCTGAGACACAAAGCAAACGTTCGCCGGGGCCCCAGGGGTGTGAGTGCTACAGATCACACGGAATGAACTGTATTCCCTTGAACTCTAGGACTATCCCCTCCTCTCTGCAGCCGTGAGAACGTTGATCTTCAAGCAGAGAAGTCAGAAAACCACCTAGGTGGTCTCTACCAAAGTTCCTGCACCCTTAGGACACTTGAGACACAACCTGCTTGTTCTGTCTTTTTGGAGAAGGGTGGACACCTGGCCTCAGAGAATTCATGTTGGAGGGAAAGTGAAAAACTAGGTCAGGCTCCTTTTTTTTTTTTTTTTTTTGAGAAGAGCCTTTGGGATGGGGGTCAGGGGTGGGAGGAGAGAAAAAAATATTTCTAGATGTTGGGACTCAACAGTTAAGCCTGTGTTGCTTATCAACATCAGGGCAGCAATAACCACTTTCCCTTCCCTAGGGGCTGCATCATTTCTGCCCCCATCTGGGGGAGTAATTGTCAGGGCCACCAAGTCCTTCTTCCTCTCTCTCTCTCTCTCTCTCTCTCTCTCTCTCTCTCTCTCTCTCGTATCTGCGCTTTATTGAGCTGCTGTTAACCAGGACCCAGGCGTGACCCCAGCCAAAGGTTAAAGGGGCGCGTAACCTGCCTGGTAAGGTTTGTGGGCTGATTGTGGGCGCTGTGCAATTGCTTCAGGTGTGCCGGTGCGTTTCTTTTCCCCCTCTACTCACTTTGGTTCCGATCTCTCACGACCTCCTCTTCATGTTCCTTGGGCCCGCTGCACGAGTCTCGAAGGACCGAGTGGACATAGCCCTGGTGACAGAGACCCGAATCCCCCTGGCCGTCGGCTGTGGCTAGTGAGTTCAAATAAGACAGTTTCTCCCTTTCTTCTTCCTCGTCCTCCTCCCCTCCGTCAGAAAATTGCGTTCCCTCAGCTGCGGCCAGCATACAGGGCACGGAGTGGAAGTGGTGCTCCAAGTCTGTCTGCAAGTGCGCCCCGTGTAAGTGCTGCTGCTCCAGATTCAAAATGTCTTTGACTGAGAAAGGGGTGGAGGTGACCGGGCTTGGTAACATCATCAGGGCCACTTAATTGTCCAGTCCAAATACTCAATAAATCCCGGCGGGGGCGGGGAGGCAGCGCGGCGACTCCAGCTCTCCTTCTGGACTCTGCGGTTGCTGCCCAGTCGGGTTTTTGACAGACGCGGTCCGGCTCCAGTCTAAATCGCCTCCATTGGCCGGGATCTGGGGGTCTGGGTTTTGTTACAGCCACTGCAGGGACTGGGGCCGGGGCTGAGAAGCCTCTGTCCGAGGGCCTTGCGTCACGTCGGAGGCGGGGCCGGCACTCCGGCCTCCCTCCTCATTGGCTGTGGCTCACTCGGGCCACGCCCCCGCATTCACCAAGTGGATTCTGGCAGCGCTAACCAGAAATAGACAAGGACTAGTATAGGGCCTTAAGTCCAAGTGGCTGCAGGAGAGGTTGCACCACCGACTCGAGTGTCCGAACCACCGATTCTCACTCCGCCCGACTGCACCTTCCCGACCTGGGCCAGTTCTGGAAGGTCCGCTGTCCACGGGAAGGATGCCACAACAGTGCGGTTTTTTCAGGTGCTGCGAGGACAGGAAGACTTCCTGGCTGGTAAATACCCGGCGCTGCATCAACGACCAATGTTTCATCTATCTCTGAGCGACGTGTCAATTTCCTACTTCTTGTCTTTGCTCAAGAGATTCTTCCACATGGAACGTCTTTCCCGCCCTTGTCTCCAAGAGTGGAAAGCTTTTCTTCAAGGCTCTACTCAAATACTACCTCCTCCAAGGAAGCAGTCCCTGTTCGCCGGGCCGGAAGTCCTCTTTCCCGCCTCTGAACTTGCAGCTCCTGTTAGCAAAGGACATTCGTGTCACTTATCATTTCCCATTTAGTTTATAGCTTTATGTGTCTGGTTGCCTTAGACTGTGCGCCTCCTGAGGGCCGGGTCCGGGTTGCACTTGCCCAGGGTCCAGGGTTGCCTTTGCCCTTGTAGCCCTTAGTTGCTGCACAGAGCAGGTATGTGAAAGATAGGATGATGGAGTTCTTGACTACATTTTGGTGTCCGAGTGCTCTTGCTTTGAATCTGGCCTCCGTCAGTCTGTGGTCTTGGATATTTGTTTCATCATCTTTAAAAGGAGACAGTAATACTCGCTTTGGGTTATTGTTCTGATTAAGTAAGGTAAAACATTCCAGGAGCTTAGTGCAGTTTCCCAATGTTAATTTCTCAGTATATGTCAACTACCGCTATTCTGCATCCGAGGTCAGCGCAGTGTTTGTTGACTGTATTAGTGGTAAAGTGGCTGGAGTGCTGCACACACTGGGTGGCTTCACATGGTTTTGAGAGCAGGATCTGTCCTCAAAAGGGAGGTTACCCTGCCGTGGCTGCCGTTTTGAAATCGGGAGTCTGAATCTAGGCCTTGAATCTTGGACACTTGTTTCTATTCTCTATCCACGGAGCTTCTGGCGCCCTCCTGAGATTCTGTTGTTTTCTGGGTAAATCTGTAGACTCCCTAGAGATTTTGGATTGTTCCACTCGGTGGGAACCCCCCCCCCCATAGGCTTTCACCCATTGCCAGCATAGTCCAGTGAGTAGGCCCGGATGCTGCTATGAGCCCACAGAAGCACGCGTGGGCAACGCTGGCCTTGAAAAAATTGGAACCGGGCATCCTTCATCTGGTGGCCCCAAACTTTTTTTTTTTTTTTTTCCTTTTTGGACCTGAATAGCTAAGTTGGGAAAAGTTGGCCTCAGCTAGAAGGAACAGGTGGAAGGTGTGGGGGCTGTGGACAACGTTCCCGGGAAGGGGCAGGCACTGTGTTCGAGTGGGAGGAATGAGGATTGAAAGTTGCCTTGCCGGGAACCGGTAATGCAGAGGAGTCGGTGCCCTTGGCGGGGGAATGAAAGTACAGCCTGTTGGGAGGGGAGAGAGGCGGGGCTGTTCAGGAGAGAGCGGAAATGTTGAGGGGAGGCAGCCCCTGGGGGCGCCTGGGGAGTTGAGCTGCCGCCTGGGCCACAGCTCCGGGGAGTACCCTTAGGACCAGATCGGTGGGGAGAGACCATCTGTGGGCAGGGCTCTCCTCCCCGAAGGCCATCCCTCAGCCGCAGGACAGCCGGTTAACTTTTGCTTAAATCCTGAAACTGTTGAAGCCTCAGGCGGAGGCTGATGTCTCCTAAACCGGCCGTGAATCTACAGAGGGAAGAAGGCGCCCGGTTTTGCAGCGGATCCCGAGCTCTTGGGCTCAAAGATACCGAGAGAGGTGGGGGTGAGTGCGCGGCACTGCAGGGTGGGGGACCTTGGTGTATGTGCGTCACCGCGGCAGGCTAGTAGAAAGAAGGAAGCTGCGTTCCAGTCTAAGCCCTCTACTCCCACTCCCCAAGGCAAAACCATTGAGGGGAAATGTTTCTGGTCCCTCTGTACCCACTTTTCTTAGCTTCTTAGGTGGTTTCAAAATTTAGACAAAAGAAAAAAACAAAACCTACCGAAATAATTTTTCTTTCATCCGTTTCCCACAGAAATCTGCGAGTTTTTTTTGCTACATTCCTTGCTTCTCAGCGCGCTTCCCTCCTAGGCTTTACCCAAACTTGGTCCCAAGAACCCGTGTCTTAGAACCGTGATCTGGACAAAGCGCAACTCCAGCGCCCTGAGTACGGTGACACGCCCACACACCCGCTGCTGTCTCCCGAGCCCACCAGATCGTCCTCTCTCTGCACGTGCAGAAGACAGTCTCCTCCCCTCCCACGCGGGCGGGTCTCCACTGCCGCGCCTGACAACCTCCTATCAGGCCTCGGTTCTCTCTCGTGGATCCTAAACAAGTGTCTTCTAGGCAGACCGCTGCGGGACGCAGTCACACCCCTTGTTATTCAATTACTGGTTAGGCCGAGTGAGTTAGAGGCCTGAGAGGCTCCCTGTGGAGAGCCACAACCTAGGGGCCTAGCCTGATGCTTCTGTGACTATCCGGTTTTCTTTCTCCATCTTCAGACCTGAGCAGGGCTGATCCAACCGTAGGAGGTTTGGACTCTCGATCCAGTCCTTAGGGTTGATCTTTGTTTTATGGCCAGAGCAGGGATTCCAGTCATCTCCAGCTACCTTTCCGGATTGTCCAGGCTCCCTTTAGTCTGCCAGTAGCGAGGCTTCCCAGCATGGATCCCAGCCAGGCCAATCCCATCTAGGTGGCTTCCCTTTCCCGCTCAGGTAGCTTGTCCCCTGACGAAGGTGGGCCAGTGAGCCGCTGTCGGGGAGAAAAACTCAAGTGCGATGGATAGTTCTACAGCGGTGGTCGCTTCGCAGGAGTAGCTTATCAGCGTGTGGAATCTGGTTCGAACGCATATCCAGTTACTACCGTTCTGGGGCATTTACATTCTCTTGTCTGAAAAGGGAATCTTTGAAACCCCGGAGCTGTACTCAACTAATAATAGGTCTTCCTTCCAGACAGTTTAGCTAATTGCCGTCAGGTAAAGTAAATATGGCTGCATCCACAGAAGCGTTTCCTTTTATTTTAATCGGGTGTATCTGCACTGGTAGCTTTCCTCACATTATACATTTTATACAAACACCCTATCAGGTATTTGATTAAGGATCATAGTTAAATGGTGGCAAATTCCAGGAGGGGAAAGAGCTATATAGGTGCATAAACAATAAATAAAATTATACCTTTAAGAAAATCCGTGTGCTCACCAATACAATAAATACATTATCAAGTGAAAATGTAATAATTATTCAAAAACTGTAACGTGGTCCTATGTTATTCTTTACACATTGCTTAATTAACGTTTTTAAAATATAGGCAGTTAATAGTTTTAGTTCTGTATGCCACTGTTTATCTTGTTGCATAAGTAGTCATTTAATTATGTAACCAAGGCCACAAAGAAGTTGAAAGTTATCCTGACTTCCTAATTTAAATATAGCACCACAGTCAGAAGTGATTTTCTATTAAAGCAGGAAAAAATCATCCTGTGATGAACTCAACTATCCAAAATTATATCACATTTCAGGTGAATTTTTCACAGTTTCTTAAAGCTGTCCCAGAAATTTAATTTTCATTGTATCTAACCAAAAAAGAAAAAGAAAAAAGAAAGAGAGAAAAATATCCTTGTTAGCAACAGCACTAAATAGGTTTTTGTTAACGGTAGAGTGTGTATTTGTGGATTTTGTTCTTAATTGATGGATGTCAGAAAACTATCCAGAAGTTCTGGACAATCTGAGGCAATAGCATTTTAATTGTAAGAAGGCTGAATACACTTCCTACTTTTAAAGACATGTCAACTGGGTTGGTCAGTTCTAGAAAGCATTAAACTTATCTAATTTCTTGGAAGTATTTTTTCTTTGTTGAAGTAATTTCCTCTGAGGGATTCTTAAATGCAGCCGGGAGCTCGTAGCTTGTTTTGCATATGTTTGCATACTTGCCAGATTTTTCTAGATTTTTGTTTGGAGTTGATTCTGCTAAATGACCCACCGCTTCATTTTTCTGGAAGAAAAATCAATCCAAATTCAGCGAATCTCATAGTTCTGAGTAAATTACAGGCCCTTCCTAAGAAAGCAAGTTTCGATTTCTCAGCGAGAGGACTTTTCACGTCTACCTACGCATGTCTGGTCCCTTCCAACGATTTTAAAGATAAAAATATAAATTTAAAATGTCTCACCAAACCAATTCTGTTGCCAATAAAGCACTTAACCCAGAAAGACTAACTGTATGTTTGTTGAATGAACATCAATTCAATATTTTTTTCCAAACATAAATGCCTAAATAAAGAATGCTTGTATTATACAGGCATGTATTTGTACTGATGTGTGTGCTATTTGGGAATGCAGAGAGAAGTTTTAACTAGGGGATTAAATTGGAATTCTGAACACATTCCTAACTTTTTAAAGAATAAGCGCCAGTTTAACTTCCTGTAGAGAATTTCAACGTCTGTAGACCTTTTAAAGTATAATCTTAACTTCAGAAGAACTGTTACAGTCTTCTGCAGAATTAATTCACTGAAACCAGAGCGCCTGCCTGCTCTGTGCGGGTGGCTGAGCAGAAGAGGGGAAAGAGAAATGTGTGTATCGTGTTCCAAGAAGCAGAGATTCTTCGTATCTCTTCCTATCGCTATCTTCTCAGTGTTGTCTACTCAACCGCAAGCCAGCTCTGAGGAACCTCGGACTCCCGGAATGTAAAAATCTTTTCCTAAGTTTCTCTGGGGGTTACTTTGGAACGAATATCTTCAAACTATTTGAGAACGAAAAAGAACTTTCTTACTTGGAAATA